CTAAACCAACTCGATTCAAGGCTCCAAATCGATTTCAAAACCTATCCTCCTCCTCACAAGAATCGCAAAAATTAGCAAGCAACTTTCAAACACACCGAACCCCATCAAATTATTCACAATATATGATCACCTTTTACCTATATTCATCCTACTATACTCTTTCTCATTTAGATCCGATCAACTCGGCCAGTTCACTCTTCTGAAGCTCGTAAACTGATCTTCTCGAGCTGTGTCGTCCAGTCTCTCCCAAGAACTTCAGGATTCAGTTGCATTGCAACACGAAAGTCCAACAACGATGCATTCAATCGTTGAGCTCTGTGCCTATACTGTTCCTGCAATGCGATTCTCGAGCCAGTTATCGGTTGATTGTCTGTAAATCTCGGTCGCTCGCACCTCGACTGAGAGAAACTCAAACATGGTTCAATCAACCTCTTTAAGTAAATATCCAGTGCGTTGTTAAGAAGGTTTACACCATCAACAGATATATCAATCTGCTCCATTTCCAACTTTTGCTTCAAATGAGTCCTCAGCAACCTCGTGTCGGGTAGCTCGCCGCCGTTTTGACATGTTGTTACATGACAGTTTCTTCTTCCTACAGATATATTAGACAGAGTTTTACCAGACCCAACAAAGTTCATGGATATTCCAAGCGGAGCGGTAACCGGGCTTCTACTCTGAACTCCTGGACTTCCAGCTACCTGCTCAACCTCTTCTCCATCTTCTACGGATGCCATATCCACCGGAGGACGGCTGCCAAGAGAATGCAACTCTGTTGCACTTTGCTGTTCTTGTGCCTTGAAAGCAAGTTCTTCAAGTGCAATATTCTGGGGCTTTCCACATGGTCCTAGAGGACTCGGACGATCTCGAATCTTACGGTCTCTACTGACCGGAGACCTTCCCTTTCGAGGGGAGGAAAGAAATGCATCCCCATGAAGTGATTGAAGACAACTCCTCTGATACCCATTGACAACCTTTACACTGAGATTGCTATCTACTTTCCTAGTACTGCTAAGAACAGGGGGAGTTTTAGCCACACATGCATTTTGAAGAATTGCTTTGATAAACCGATTATGAAGAGGTATGATCTCCCTCCCAATAATCTGAATGCAAAACTTGTCGAATTCTCTTTTGTTAATCTTTAAACTCAACAGTTTTTTGAGCTGATCAAAGTATTTCTCCGATCTCTGATGTCCAAGCTTTCGATAGATCATAGCTTTCAGCTCAGATGTATCTATACGAGAACTGTCTTTCCTGGGAAGCATTTTCAGGGCCGCAATTCCAGCAATGGCTGAATTTGAGACAAAGCCCTCAGAATCCCCCACAAATCGGTAGACTGAAAGTGCAAGAAATGATTCATCAGAAAGCCAGAAACCCTAAATTCACAGCTTAAGTTTCAAAACATTTGATTATCGATTGCTGAACCTTGAAATCATGAGGAACAAACCCCAAACTGAAGAACAGCTCGAAACAAACCATATTTCATTTCATTTCGAAACAAAGCATATTTCATTTCATTTCGAAACAAAACATCGATTGCAGGAAAATCGTACCCCGACAAGGGTTTTTTCTTATCATTGTCGGAACAATAAAAACCAAAATCCTAAAGCAATCAATGATGCAAAGAAGTGTCGCAAACATGAAGCATTCAATTTCAACTCCAAATTGGAACAGGAAGTGAAAACCCTAATTAGCAAGCAAACAATTCAGATACTTACAAAAATTGACCGAAGTGTTGCCTAATTGGGATCAACGCTCTATGATTTAGCGCCGCCGTCTTCTGAATCTAGATTCGCAACTTTTTGCCGTTTCTTTAAATTGTTTATGGTGGGATTGATTTTGGCGATTTGCAGATCGGAGACCAAAATCAAAACAGCGACCTTCGACGGGAGTTCTTGCGAATGTGTGTCTCCTCGGCCAATCACATCGCAATTCCATTCCGCACGTGCGCCCTCTATTTTATATTTTTGGTCCAAGACATGTTTTTTTTTCTTTATTTATTTATTTATTTACAATTCCAAACATGTTTTTTTTTCTTCTTTTTTCTTTCCTCCTTGATTAATTTTTCTCTTGGCTCCCTCTCTCGTAGTTCTATACGATGATTTATCAGACATTTCATTGGTGCTGCATGTCACACGTTTACAACCATCACTGTTGCATTTCAACGACATGGTTTATCCTGCATTCATTCGATGACGGTTCAAATAAATGAAACTTTATGAATGGTTTGGTTCAAGAGCTCGACGAACAAACCAACATTTTAAAATATACATTTTTACTTCCAATACAATAATTATACATATTTTTGTTTAATTTTATAATTTTATAATTATTTATTTTCCAACCACTTTACAATTATATATATATATATATTAAATTATGTTTTGTTTTTTATTATTTAGAAATACGTGAAAATTGTAATGGGCTGGATCATAAACCGGCTCCTTCAATCGGGTCGGGTTTTTTTATGTGACTAAAATCGTAAAACGCCACCACAATTAGGGTTTATTTCTCATATAAAAGCAATCCTTTTTGCCGACTTCTTCTTCCCCGCAAAATCTCTGCTTCACATTGTGATTTCTGAACCGTTTCATTACCTCACAATCATGGGGCACTCCAACGTGTGGAACTCTCATCCGAAGAGCTATGGCCCTGGTTCTCGCACCTGGTAAGCAAATATCTTCTCACTCCTCTGGTTTCCAAGAAAATTGATGGAAGAAGGATCTGGAACACTAGTTTCGTTTTCTGTTTTTGTCTTGTTTATTTGAACGAGTTGGAAGTTCATCTACTGAGTAAATAATGTTTAAGCATGTTTCTATTGCTAAAGTTTGTTCTTGCGGGGTTTGTAATGAAACCTGAAGAATATTGTGCGGCTGAGTACGTATATGCATTACTTTTCTTGCTAAAGGATCGATTAGATAATCAGACGCCTAGGCCTTCGGTTTGCTTTTCTCATTTTCTCTTTTTTCTTTTTAATTTCAACATGACTTTTAGCTGTTGTCCTCAGGATTTTCCTAACTTGGATGAGATTATGAGATGCTTATATTTTGTGCTGATTTGGGGGTTCCCTGTTGTTACTTCTTTGTAAGAGTCGTTACACTTGCAGACGATTTCTATTTTAAACCTGTATTTACATAGTGACCTTATCATATATCGTTTTAGGTATAGTTTCGGGTGGAAAGTTATAACCGATGTTCTGTGATGAATGGGTTTCTGTTTTGTTGAGTTATTTGAATTTCGAAGTCTATCTTGATGATGAACTGTTCCTCATGGATGCCCGTAGTATGAGTAAAAATTATACTTGTATATGAGAAGAAGTCTGATCTTTTTATTTTTGGAGCTGTGGACTGAAACCTTAAGGCTATAACCCCAATAAGTGTAGATCATTTTGGCAATTACCCATAAGTTATCTAGTCTAATAAGTGCAGATCATTTTGGCAATTACCCATAAGTTATCTAGTCTAGCCATTAGTAACTGAACACTGTATTATCCTTAGTGGATGTCGTAGTGGTTGATGTTGTATTGTAATTGGCTTTGGAGAAAGCTGAATTTCAATAATTCCTTTCTTTCAATCCTCATTTCAGTCGTGTGTGCGGAAATCCCCATGGGTTGATCAGAAAGTATGGACTTATGTGCTGCAGACAATGCTTCCGTAGCAATGCCAAGGAAATTGGGTTCATTAAGGCAAGTGGTTTTTGTGCTCTCTATGATTATTTGATGAGATGCGCATTATCTTCTGCATTCTCTAAACTTAGAACTTTCCCATTTGTGCAGTACCGCTAAGAAGCTAACATCTCTGGAAGAGAGGTTGGGTTGACTTTATTGAAGAAGATTTTTCAATGTTTAGCAATGTTTTCTCTCTGTTTTCTCTCTTTTTACTCGGTATCGAATATGAAATGATTGTTAGACGACGATTTTGACACTTGGTTCTGGACAACGATTTTGAGCTTCTTCCTCTTGATATTATTTTGACAAATATTCCTTCTGTTCTTCAGTTTCTAAGCATGTTTGATGTTTGATGCCTCTTATGCGTTCATATCGTTTATGAGCTTAGGATTTAGAAATATATGATGTAAAAGAGGGTTTAAGCTATGAGGGGTTATTTTTCTTTTGATGGTTACGAGATCTGTATTCTCTTGCGATCTTACCTTTCTTGCAAACCATATGTTTCTAAGTTTGGCTTGTTTATGATTGTAGTTAATTGAATGTATCATTTATTAATTAAGGCAAATAGGCAAATAAATTACTCTGTTAAAATATTTTGAACTGAATGTTGATAGAAACTAACTTTTTTTCTAAATGGTTTAAATATCATTTGAATCTTTCCTTGTTTCTCAAGGCTGTTTGTTTGGAATTTACTTTACCATATAAAAGAAAAATCAAACATTTATGTAATTATTAATTATAAAAAAAAAAACTTAATATAATAGGCTGAAGTTTATTAGAATTTTCAAAATTGAAAAAAAAAACTAAATTGTAATGAAATCATATAATGTTAAGTTTGGTAACAGTAAAGAATGTGATTAGCAAAATCAATTTACATATATATTATTTTATTTTATATATAATTAAAGGTTATTTGATTGTGTGTGCTTCTCTTGTTTCAATCGGGGTTTGAAACTAAACTTCTCATGAGAATGATAGATAGGTTGATTTAGGTTGATTCTGATTCAGTGTAGATTTAACTTTCTATTCTCTCTATGGGATTTGAGCCATTTGAATAGGTTGATTTTGATGAGATTCAGTGTAAATCCAACTTTCTATTCGTTCTTGAGAATTCAAATATCCCTCATCAGTATATGAACACCTATCTCTTGAGCATAAGTTTAGATTCGGCCTCAATGAAAAAAATAAAATAAAAACAACTCATCCTCATAAACCAAGAACTACAAGAAGATTGCTGTTCTGTTTTCATTCTGGTATGATGAAGGGGTTATAAGATATCAACTACCCTTCTAAATATATTTAAAAACTTTCAAAATTACGATAAACACTTCCAAAATGAATACAAAGACAACGTTTATTATTAGATAACGATTCTCATCCATCTTCGATGGGATTTCACCATACAAGCAACAAAATAACAAAGACATTTGATGTTTGAAATTTATCTTTTTTTTTTTTCTGGTTTTGTTTTGGTGGGGTCTGCCCTTAAATAGTAATAATTGATATACACTATTGCTACTACGGACTCTTAACCTATATATATATATACTTCGTTCTTGCTCATTTTAGCTACTAAGGGTCACTCATCTAAAACACAGACCTGTTTTGATCTAAACCACCAAAAATGGAACTTCTAAGAAACTGAATACCTTCTGTTCCTCGAAGGCGTTGACTTCGCTTCCTCCTGATTAGTAGACCCGAGGCTCTCCGACGAATCCGAGCTGCTGTTTTCGCCATATCCTCCTCCTTTACTTGACCATAGCTTAGTGAAAAGCTTCTTTGACTGCAGCATGCCCTTCATTTTACTAAGAGCTGCTTTGTCAATACCATTTTTACCAACTCCATTCCTCTCACTACCTCCTCTACCATTAGCAACCCTTAAGGAAGCCAGCTCCCCTTTGAGGGCCTTCAGCTCCTCAGCCATGGCTACTGCATCCCAGTCTTCCTCTGGGTTCGTCGTGGCTGATCTTGAGCTGCCGTGTGACCCGCTCGTTAGATCCTTGATCCCTTTAGGTAGGTCGGGAGTGCTGCTGCCTGATGACGCCGACGCCCTGACTTGCTCGAAAAATAATACCTGCACAACCATACGTAGAGGTAGCCGTTCGTTTTGTACTGCATGAATGCAGGCATCAGCAGATAGCTTCTTGCAGTCTATCAGTTTGCAGATTCTCTTCTTGTCACTCTTGCTGATCCCTGGATGTTCCTGTATTGAGAGTGCATATGGTTTGAGCAAGGGGGAACGGTTAAGTCGTGTCGAAAAATAAACATAACAACTTATGATGTGTCTATAACTATGTCGTAACAAATGCAAAGTCGAAAACTTGAACAATATCAGGCTAAGTTAAGGAGCTGATACCTTCAGATACATGTCTATAGCTCGATAGAGCCCATCGTGCGAAGGCCGAGCGATGCCAGATACCATTTCTGCGAGATCAATGAACTTTACTGATGGTAAGTTACGATCCTTAGCAATTTCAGCGAGGTAACCATCAATCAATTTCGCCACCATCAACTTAGTAGCATCTGATAAAATCCCTGCCCCTCTTGGCTCCTCGAGCTCATTTCCCGCTTCAAGCGACTCAATCTCGGTATTATGATCTTGCAAAAGAAATATCTCCACCATTTTCTGCACAGCATCGACATCGTAAGTCGTAGCTTCACCATCCGGTGCTCGTAGCAAAAGATCACTCACTGTAGCCTCTTCTAGCTGCTGTCCCATTAGTCGAACGAGCTCGTCTTTGGTCTCGTCTCCAGAAGCTAAGAAAATGGAAGCCTTCAGCAATTTCGACAAGAAGCTACTCGAGACACTGCCTTTCTCAGAAGGTAACATCCAGACAATTGTTGCCACTGCTGATTGATACTTCAGCAGATCCCCACATCGAAGCACGCTTTTGCTAAACCCAGGAAGGTATCGGTACGCGTAAGCTTTCAAGGCTTCTCCAATCACATCATTAAGGACGATTCCTTTACTTTTGATACTCGCTATGACACGCATATATACATCGATTTCTAGCTCACAAAGATCCTCGACCCACCAATCCTTCGGCACGCTACGATTTCTCACGCCATTCCGGTTGGGATTGTTATCGTTTTCCTCGAGTAGTTTGTTTCGGTTGTATGTATAAGACCAGTCAACATTAGAAACATCAGCGGAGGCCTTCATTGCAATAGATTCTAGGCAATTGCTTACTAACTTCAGTTCCTCAGATAATGGCATCAATGCCTTTGTTGTCTGAAGAACAATGATTGAATCCTTCCAGCTACGAAAGATGCTCGAACTAAGGAAAATGTCGATTTTGTAGGCGAGGTTTCCCTTTTCGATTGTCTCGTGCATTCCGAGGTATTCGGCAGCACAACGAGCTGCAACTACGTTATAGGCATTAACAGTAACAGTCATGCCGTAACAAAATTTGGCACATATCTCAAATGCTGCAGAACCGCCCGGGATCTCGGGAATATATACTTCATCGTTCGGCTCCCCAGCGGCGGCTGTGACCAGCTTCTGTAAGTGAGCACTCTTTGACAGAAGGGGAAACTGCAAACAAGCAGTACTACCAATTTATCAGCTCAAGAAATCAATAACTATCTATGCAGTATAATAGCTGTCTATGTGAAAAATTTCATGTTAGTTAGTTAGTTTTTTTTTTTTTTTTTTTTTTTTTTTTTTTTTTTTTTTTTTTTTTTTTTTTTT